AAATAAGTTGGACAAATAATACATAAAATAGAATAATAAAGAATAAATTGGACAAATAATAAATAAATAATAATAAATAATAAGTCAGATGAATAATATATAATTAAATAGTAATAAAGAAAACGTCAGACAAATAATAAATAATTGAATTATAATAATAATGAATAAGTCAGATAAATAATAAATAAATGAGAAAATAGAATAAGCTGGACAAATTTTCTAAAAGAAAAATCAATCTAATACTTATATAATACATTACATATAATTTATATCATTTTTTTGAAGAATTTTTTTATTATTTCTAAACCTAAGAATGTCTGTTGTTGGCAACAATCCCACATTAAACCTCAGATTTTCCTATGTTTTATGGCATTTTCAAATTCTGCTTGTTTTGGATAAGTTTGTCATACACATACATACACTGTCTGATTGATAAAGCCCGGATTGAAATAAAATCTATCATTGTCAGACATTCAGTCTTGTGTTTTCATTCATCTGAACAATTAGTAGGATCCTCATCATCATCAGTTCCATGATGGGTGTGGTCATAGGGTCACAATGCAGCTGATCATCTGACCAGTTCCCTCCATATCTCTCGGTTACATACCAATGCCTGAGTTTCTGAGAAGGATCTTTCAGTCTACTCAGTAACATTGTCAGACCATTTTGTTCTTCCATATTTTGGGTTGAAAGTGGTACCTTGTAGGATGGCACTGGAAAATTTTGTTTGCTCTTGTGATGTGTCCATACCATTTTAACTTTCTCTTCTTGACGTTGGTTATGAAGTATTCTAATGGGGCTCTTTCTTGTTTGATGGCGTCTTGCATTGTATCATTTGAGAAGTAGTCTACCCTCTTGTGCCAATTAATTGAAACAGTCACTTTAGTTTCTTTCAACCTATGATCAGTTTTAGACCCACTGGAGTGACAAGATGTAATCAATTTCTATTTTGTTCCTCAGATTAGGTCATTTACAGTGGTGTGCAGTAATATGAATCTATTTTACATGTATGATGAAATTTCTTTGGCTTTGAAAAATATTGCATCATCCATGATTGCATCAGATTTTCATCACATCCAGACACTATTGTTTTGACTGCTGATTAGTTGTCCTTCAGCCATTGTCTGCAATGGACATTACTCCAAGGAAGCGTACGAAAATTGTAATGCAGCACGAACACAATGGCAAGCCTTACCAGTGAACAAATCAAAGTACTATCAACTGGCTTAGAAACTCTCCTTATTTAAATCAATCAAGAATCTCAGCAAAGAAAGACTTTGTGGAAGGGACCTACAAAGTACTAACATGTGCACTGGGTCATATTTCATTGGAAAAATACAAATAGTAAATAATAGCGGAATTATTCATTTTGTTTCAATTAATTTGTACAAGGGCATATATCAAAGATGCCTAGGATCTTTCTGTAGAATCTCATTTCCAATTCTTGGATTAGAATCCAAATCTAATGATACTTCATTATAATTCTTTAAGCAACCTTCAAAATCTCCCTGTCGCATATATATCATATCATATTTCTTTTGAAGTGAAAGGTCATGTGATACTTCAGAGTTGATTGTTCAACAACTTTCTTGTGTTTTTTGCTTTGAAGTCATATTTATGTCTATCTGTTTTCAGTAATTTGACAAACATTTTGTACTTAACATGCTGTATGTAGATCAGCAGTTTGATGTTAAACAACTTTTGTTCAGACTTAGCCAATAGGTTTATATACAAGGTTTGTCTGAAAAGTAACAGGACTGGTGTCACAAACAATTTATTTCAATTTCAAACAACAAACTACCTACATGGTTTCCCCTTCAGAATCATCCCCCTTGAGTCTAATGTACTTTTCCATCCTGCTCTGTCACGCTTCTATTCACTGCTGGAAGGATTCTTCTTGGATGGCCCTCAACTCTGTCATTATGGCTCTCTTGATAGCCTCCATGTCTTCAAAACAGATCCACCTAATGATCCCCAAAAGAGAAAAAAGTCACATGGAG